AATTTGCCTTCCTTAAATTCTGTGATTTCAGCTACTGTTAAGAACACAGCTGTGCTTATCCGAGAGCATGTTTAAAAGCCTCGAATGACCAAGCAGATCATCTTCAGATACCTACCTCTGCCATGAGAGCAGGAATGGGATTGTCAGCCCCCAAAGTAATTATCCTTAAAGTTATAGCATGAGGCACTTTAATAGAAAAACGAAACAAAATAACCCACAAAAAAAGCTACCAAAGGAAAAAGCCAAAAAAGAATGAAATAGGCCACCTCAAGTATGGGGGGCAGTTTTGGGCACCACAATATAAGAAGGTTATAAAGCTCTTGGAGAGCATCTAGAGGAGGAACACAGATGGTGAAGGGTTGGGAGGGGCCATACGAGGAGCAGCTGAGGGCACTTGGAATGTTCAGATGGAGGAGATTGAGGGCAGAGCTCACTGGGGGCTGCAGCTCCTCCTGAGGGGCAGCTCTGATCTCTGCTCTATGTGAGCAGGGACAGGACCAGAGGCAACAGCTGGAATTGTGTCAGGAGAGGTTTAGGTTGGATCTCAGGGAAAGGTTCTTCCCCCAGAGGGTGGTTGGGCACTGAACAGGCTCCCCAGGGCAGTGGGCACGGCCCCAAGGCCCCCAGAGCTCAAGGAGTGTTAGGACAGTGCTCTGAGGGACGGGGTGGGACTCTTGGGGTGTCCTGGGCAGGGCCAGGAGTCGGACTGGATGATCCTTGTGGGTTCCTTCCAGCTCAGGATATTCTGTGGCTCTGTGATCTCGTCTCTGTCTCCAACCAGAACTAATGACAGAAGTACAGTCTGGCAGGACAGTGTAGAAAGGCTGATGTCAGCTGAAAGCAAACATCAAGTGAAGGATTCCCACTGCTGGAATATTGATCTGAAGAAGGAAGGGGAGTCGGGATCCCCTATACCTGAGAGCAGTTGGGTAGGCTGGGGTGCCTAAGGCTGGTCTGTTACCAATATTTTTTTTAATCTCCTTCTCTTTCCCCTCTCCTTTGGCTGCTGCTCCTTGTGAAACTGTGTCCCTCTTGCAGTGTCTCACTGAGCAGTGGCGCCAAGGACTCGGGAATCACGACAGGTCATTTTCCCATTTTAACTCAATTTGAGCCAGTGTTAATTTCAAAACAGTGGATGTATCTGCCTGGTTAGTGTCTCCTTGCTCTGTGAAGGGTTTTGTCGATAACAGGCGTGTCATTCCCTTAGAAATGGCCCTGCTGGGCCCTCGCACTGGTTGGAGCGATGATGCTGTAAAACGCTTGGTAGGTTACTCGGGGAATCTCAGCCAGAAGACTTTTAAATGTTGGCTTGTGTAAAAAGGAATTGCAAAGAGAACGTCTCGGGGGTTTTCCTCTCTCTTTTTGTTAGTAACCTTCCAGCTCAATGTTTTCCTTTTTATATCTTTAATATGTATGTAATGTTCCATTGATGCTGCCGCCTGTAACAGCGCTGTCAGCAGCCTATGGCTTTTGCTTAATAAAATGGAGGAATGATTCTTCTCCTGCGAGATGTTTTTGAAATGAAACTTAAACCCAAACCTTGTGATCTTTGGTGTGCTGCCCAGATTATAGAAACAAAATGATTGAAACAGCAGCTGGCAGTGGCTTGAAGTGAGCTGGAATACCTTGAACTTCTCCCCGGGTCGCTTTAGAGCCAAGGTGGGGATTTTGTTTTCTCTGTGCTCAGCCCAACCTTTGTGATTTTAGTGTGGAGGGAGTTCAGCTTGTTCCCACGGGAGCAAGGCTGCAGTGGGCTGGAGTATCTTCCAGCCTGGAGGTTTCCCATCCAGCTTGGGGAGACCCTTGGCTTTGGCAAGTGAGGTAGAGGAGAAGGAAGGTTACACAGAAGGTTATTCTTCATGTGTAAGTGATGAGGAGGGATGGACTGGTCCTCAGCACTGGATGTCACTTCTCAAAATACTCTGTTTTCCCCCAGACACTGGTTTTTGGGTTTGGAAAAAAAACAGTTTAAAAGTTCTGCTCTTTCAAACTAGGGACAGTACCAACTTTTGACAAGGGCTTTGTGGTTGTTGAAAACAATAATTTTTGGGGAAACATTTCTCCTGGTAGCAGCAAACCTCTGTATTTTGAGTTTTGCAGCCCAGGCTGCAAAAACAAATGCTTAGAACACCCATGGTCACAAGTTACCTTGTGTGTGAGGGGTGTCTCTACTGCATCACATTATTCAGTGTGTCTTTATGTCTGCCTTTCCTCTTCATATGCTCCGTTCCTAAGATTAGTACAGTTTTCCTGCTCATGGATAAATAATTTAAACACCTGGACTGATTAAATGCATGCACAGGAGCTCAGAGCAGTCGTGGCTTTTCTTTTCTTTTGATTCCAAGACTGACTTTTCTGAGGAAGATTCAAAGCAACTGAAAATAGCTTCATCACAGAAACATCAAGCGCAACTTGAGCATTGTCGTGGATTCAGGCAGTGAACGTTTGCCTTCCCATTAGCGACGTCTCATTGAACACTCAAGGGCTTATTGACAACTCGTTTGCTTTGCCTAATTGTGTGCCTTGCTGGAGGGCAGGACCGTCCTTCCCTTGGCAGGGCTGGTGTGAGGGAGGTTTAGGAGCCAAGCTCGGCTCATCAGAGGGCTCCTGTGAACCCCGAGTTCTGCTGGGGGTGGAGGAGCTGCAGCGGTGCTTGCCTGTCTGAAAAAAATAAAAGTCCTTCCTGCTAATTTTCTTTCCAAAATGCCGTTTCCAAGAGGAACAGCTCTCCTGCTTTCCCCAAGAGAACTGCAGCCCAAACCAACCACCTAAGGAGAGAAGTGTTTTTCCTCTCTTGTCCTGCATCAGTCAGTGCTCAGACTGGCTGACAAAAGCACTCTCAGATGACTGGAGTTTCCTCTCCTTTTGTTGTAAAAAAAAAAAAAAAAAATGCTCTTAGGAACTACCTTTATAGAGCAGCTGCATGTGTCTAGGCTGGAGTTAAACCACAGCTGGAAAACATCTCTCATCTCTCACTCAAAACATCTTATATCTAGAGATTTAAAACCTCGTGCCAGAAAGTTGTGGTGGAATTCTTTGCCCAAGATTTTTCCTGCTGCACCAGCACTACTCTACAAGGACATGAATACCTCGATTGCCTGTGTCTTGTCTGTCTTATTTGCAGAGGGAAATGTGCAGAAAACGGGGTAGTGGGAGGAAAGTTTCACTTGGCATTTGGATTTTTTGATTACCTCCCCTTTTTTTTGAGATTTTTTTTTTTTAATATTTTACAGTAACCTGGAAGATTTGTCATGGCTTCAGTCCTCTCTCTGGCTTTCCACCCTCCTTTAGAAGCAATGCTGAGCCAGACGCCAGGCTTTTTGCAAGCCAGGGCAATTCCTGCTTGATCCAGTTCCTGCTTGTCAGTGGGATCCATCCATTACTGTAGTAGCGGGTGGGTTTTGTTGTTTCAGATGATCCCTTGCCCTAAGCCCATCACACTTTGCTTCTTCTAAGGCCAATCCTATGCCTGCTTTTCCCCCTTGGCATGGTTTGGGGAAGATAGGCCTCTCCAGCTCCTCCACGTGGTCCCTTCTCTCATCTCTGCCCACACTTTCCCTGTAACTTGCTGCTGTTCCTTGCCAGTGGAGCCTTGGGCAAAAGGCATCTCCCTCCGTGTCCCAGTGCTCCAGCACGGCTCTGTTTGGTTGCATCAGCTCCTCAGCTCAGTTTGCTTATGGAAAGCATGTCTTAAACCTTCAGAGTGCTGCTTCCTGACCACCCAGAGAGCTCCTGCGGAGTTTCGGTGCTGTCTGGAACTTGGATGAAAGCCTTAATTCATGCCCTGTCTGCATTTCTGCATTCCTACCTGCAGGACTTGCAGGAGGCCTCCATCTGTAGCTTGTTCCTTCATCATGGGCCTTTGTTGGAGTTTGGGCAGGTGCCTGTGCAACACAAGTTTAAGTGTGTTCTCCACTGACTGTGTGAAAGGTTATCTGTAGCTTCCATTTAGGTTTGGGATGATGGGACGATGCATTTTTATAGTGTTTCCACACCAGGACCTGCTGGAGCAAGTCCAGAGGAGGCACCAAGATGATCAGAGGGATGGAGCACCTCTATTGTTAAGAAAGGCTGGGAGAATTGGGATTGTTCAGCCTGGAGAAAGAGAAGCTTTGGGGTGACCTGACCGTGGCCTTTCAGGACCTGAAGGGAGCTACAGGAAAGATGGAGAGGGAATATTTACAAGGGCCTTGAGTGACAGGACAAGGGGGAATGGTTTCACACTGACAGAGAATAGGTTTAGGTTGGATATTAAGAGGAAATTGTTCCTGTGAATGTGGTGAGGCCCTGGCACAGGTTGCCCAGAAAAGCTGTGGCTGCCCCTGGGTCCCTGGAAGTGTCCAAGGCCAAGTTGGACAGGACTTGGAGCAACCTGGACTAGTGAAAGGTGTCCCTGCCCATGGCAAGGGGTGGGACTGGATGGGTTTTTAAGGTTCCTTCCAACCCAAACCCTTCTGTGATTCTGTGAACATAAATCTTGCTGCCTCCGCTTGTTGCTAATGAAAGACATTTCCTGCCTTGGTCTTCAGTGTCTCCTGGGAAAGTCACACCAGTTGAGTGAGCAGATCTGCTGATGAAGTCAGCATGTTTGGGATATTGCCCATGCCTTGGAAACCTTTGTTTGTTCTGTTTATGTGGGTTATAACAAGGGGGTTGCTCCCTGCTGTCCCTTTGCCGTGCCGGAGTTGTGAGGAAGGAAAGTGGAGCTGTCAGAATTACCTGCCAGCATAATTAAATGCATAGCTAAATGGATATAAAAAGACCAGACAAGTAAATTGCTTTTTGTACAAATAGCCTTTTGTCTTCTGTTTTTTATTGAGGCTTGCCAAAGTGCGAAGATCCCTCTGTGAAAATAAGGTGAGCAATTAGTATTAATTGATTTGGGTTTTAATCCGGGTTGGGCTGAGCTTGCTGAGGCTCAGTGTGGCAATGTATGAAATTGCAGGAGGAATTGATTGCATTTTGTCTCTTCCATGTGCAGCTTTCCCTTAAACTGCTAATGAAATTCCATCACTAATGAACAGCGTGTTCCATTAAATGTGAGTTCATCTTGGAATTGTTAACAAGTGTCTTTTGGGGATCCTTTTTCCTTGCTAGGCCCCTCTGCTGGGTGTACAGTCTTGAATTTCACTCTTGGTTTCTTAAAGATGTGCATGGAGATAGCAACACTTCTGTGTCCGTTCCTATATTTCTCTTTGGAGAGTATTTTTCATGGAATGGTTAGTTTGGTTTTTTTTTGTTTTGCCTTTGGTAGCAATTACTGCTGCTTGCATTTGTGGCTTCCAGTCCAGAACAAAGCTGGTTTGTGTGTCTGGCCAGTGGTAATTGTTGACAGTTGATAATGTTGGGGACCCCTCATTGTGGCTGGGACCTGAATTGTACCAGCTGCTGCTGAACCCAAATTATAGAGGTTTAATTTTGGCTTCAGGGCTCCTGTGCTGGAATATTTTCTTTCCCCTGGTAATAAACCAAAGAAAAAGTCAGTGTTTAAGATCTTTCCTAAACATGCCAAGTGGGACACAGAAGCCAGTGTCTCAAAAGCTGCCTAAATTTCTATTCTTACCCTTGTCTGCTCTCAGACTTTCCTGTTGACACTGAGTTATCACATCCCATGGGGCAGTTAAACTCATTCCCTGCCTGTTTAAATGTGCACTGTGTATGTTAGGTGGCATATGTTGAGTAAGAGGGGAGTTCAGGGAATGAGTGGATGTGGCACTCAGTGCTCTGGACTGGTTGACAAGGTGTGGATTGGCCCCTAGTTGGAACTTGATGATCTCAGAGGTCTCGTCCAACCTTAATGATTCCGTGATTTACAAATGTCTGAGAAGTGTTGTTTGCTCATAAGTGATTAGGAGATTAAGTAATGGATTAATTGTAGTTATTGCATTGGAACCCCCCTAATGTGTGTAGATACAAGGCCTGTGTCCTCTCTGAAAGGGTTGAGTCTTGCTCACCTGTGAGAGGGGGTGGGTGTTTGATTTTGGGGAATTATTTTGTTGGCAATTCACGTTTTTGTCCTTGTTTCTCAAATGAAAACTGTTTAGCTTTCAACTTTGGTCTGAAATGTTTACTTTTCTTCTACATGTGGAGATTGTTGGTAACACATGATTTCAGGGGAATGTTCTGTTTTGCATCACAGGAAGGCTTCAGAAAGCTGCGAGATTGGCAAAACCCAGTTTTCCTTTGGCCATTTGTGCGTGTTTGGAGGTACCTGCTGGGGCATGAGGTGAAGTTGAGCTCAGCCTTGGTGAGTAACACAGTTCTTTGTGCAGCCTCCTCTTCCCATGGGGGCTTGTGAACACATCTCACATCATATTTGATTTTTTCCCTACTATGAAATACATCTGTGGAAGGCAACTAATTAGTGCCAGACCCTTCTGTCCTAGGGATGGGTGTAAGACCAGGGCAGGTGCTACTGACACTTGTCCAAAATGCTCTCCCAGCAATGTGCATTTGGGGGATTTTCCAGCCTGTTTGTATTTAGCAGTTTTTTTTTGTTTTTTTTTTTTTTTCTCCAGAGTAAGCCTCTCTCACTTGATTTCTGACAGTCTGCACCGTTTTTTGTGATGACTATATGCATTTCTCTCTGGGTAATATGAACTTGAAAATCAGCAGTGTCATCATGTTTATCATCTGTCGGGTGTGAGGCTTGTGATGGGTCAAGAAAAGGCTTGGATGGTATTGACCAGCAGTCACCAATTTAGCTGATGGCCAAATCCATGCTGTGGGTGGTTTGTTTTGTGTGTGGGTTTTTTATTTGTTTGTTTTTTTGTTTGTTTTTTTTTTTTTTTTTTTTTTTTTTTTTTTTTTTTTTTTTTTTTTTTTTTT